GGAGCCGGCCAGCCCCACCGTGGGGCTGGACAAGAAAACACGGAGGAAATTCCTGGATCTGGGGTGAGTCTCGGCCCTGCAGAGGGAGCATCCAGGGGCTGGAGAGAGGAGCAGAAGGAAGGGAGCAGGTGGGGAGGGAGAGAGGGATGGGGAGATGCATGGAGGGATGGTAGGAACAGACGGGAGGATGGAAGGATGATGGATGGACGGAGATGTGCCAGCCCGGTGGCCCGTGAGGGGTCACGGCCCCAGGGTCCGGACCCTGCACTCCGGAGTGACTCCCTGTCCCGCAGGGTGACCCTGCGCCGGGCGTCCTCCAGCAAGAGCAAGAAGGAGAAGGGGAGCAACCGCCTGTCCATGGGCAGCAGGTGAGGGGGGCCACAAGGACCCAAAGCGGGGGGGGGTCAAGGTGGCCCCGCGTGACCCCACGGGGCCCTGTCCCTAGGGATGCGGCCGAGGGCTCCGGCCGTGCCGCGGGGTCGCCCTTCCTGCCCTTCTCATGGTTCTCGGATGGCGCCAAGGGCTCTGCGTCGCCGGGCACCGCTTCGCCCGCCGGCTCCCGTGAGGGGCTCAGCCCCGCCAAATCCGCCTCCCAGGTCAGTGCCGGGCATGGGGGCACTGAGCCCTATAGGGCCGGGTGCCTATAGGGGAGGGTGCGGGAGTTCTGTGGGGTCAGGAGGTCTATGGGATTAGGAGCACCTATGGAACTAAGTCTAGGGATGGAGCAGGGTTAGGTACCTATAAGAGAGGGAGCCAGAGTTCTATAGGGTCAGGAGAGCTCTAGAGGGGGGCAGCAGAGTCCTATAAGTGTAGATAGCTACAGGGGGGAGTATCAGACCCCTACAGCTATAGGGGCAGGTACCTCCCAGGGAGCTCCCTATGGGCAGGGTGCTCCAGGACGGGCAGGACCCCACAGTGCAAGGGGGCCAGCACTGCCCTCTGCCCCCCAGGAATCGACGCTGAGCGACGACTCGACGCCGCCCAGCTCCAGCCCGCGGCTGCCCGGCGCTGCGGCCACCAAGTGTTCCTACCCCTATAACACCTTGTCCCAGTCCTCGGACGAGGTGAGCCCCGGGGCCGCGGGCCCAGAGCATCCCTGCTCGGCTCCCTCCCCCGGCTGATCCTGCCCCCCACGCTCAGTTCCTGGATGAGCCCCCCGGCGCCGCCGCGGGCTGGACGTGCCAGCAGGTCGGGCAGTGGCTGGAGAGCCTCAACCTGGAGCAGTACGTGGAGGAGTTCTCAGCCCATGGGGTCGATGGCCCCCGGCTCCTGCACCTCGATGGCACCAAGCTCAAGGTACAGGGCAGGTTCCCTCACCTCTGCTGGGGGGTGGTGGGTTCTAGGTACAGATCGGGCACCAGGCAAGAGGTTCTAGGTACCCCAACAGGTTGGGTGCAGGGCAAGAGGTTATAGATGACCCCATGGGCTCCGGATGAGGACAAGAGGTTCTAGGTTCCCCAAGAGTTTTGGGCACTGGACAAGAGGTTCTAGATGCCCCAACGAGTCAGGCACTGGGCAAGAGCCCCAATGGTTCTAGATGCCCCAATGGGCAGGAGGGGTTCTAGGTACCTGGTTACGCTCCAACAGGGCAAATCAACGCAATCCTGCAGGATGTTCCAGGGAGGAGGAGGGTGGTTCCAGGTATCCCAACACTCCGCCCAAGGGGGTAGCAGGCACACGGCGGTGGTTCCAAAGGGCTGAAGGCGGAGGGGTTCAGGCACCTCAACAAGATGATCCATGTGAAGGGGTGCAGGGGGGTTCCAGGTACCTCGAAGGGTGAGGGAGGCGCAGGAGGGGTCCCGGCCCCCAGGATGTTCCAGGGAGGAGGAGGGTGGTTCCAGGTATCCCAACACTCCGCCCAAGGGGGTAGCAGGCACACGGCGGTGGTTCCAAAGGGCTGAAGGCGGAGGGGTTCAGGCACCTCAACAAGATGATCCATGTGAAGGGGTGCAGGGGGGTTCCAGGTACCTCGAAGGGTGAGGGAGGCGCAGGAGGGGTCCCGGCCCCCCCAGGCCAGGGCAGGGGCCGCCTCTTGTCCCCACGGCGAGCGCTCCCGCGTGCGGCAGGCGCTGGGGGTGGGCAGCTCGCAGGACCGCGCGCTGCTCAAGAGGAAGCTCAAGGAGCTCAGCCTGGCCGCCGAGAAGGAGCGCAAGGCCCAGGAGAAGGCCGAGAAGCAGCGGGAGAAGCAGAAGAAGAAGGACCAGGAGCAGCGGAGGAGCTAGGGGGGGGCCAGCAGCGCCCCAGCACCTCCTGCAGCCCCCGGGATGCCCGGGGGGCCCCCGGCACCGGCACCCGCCGAGCGCAGCCAAGGGACCGCGGTGCCACCAGGCCCAGACGAGCACAGAGCGACGTGTCA